CATAAATCTAGAAACAGAAATAAAACAATAAAATACAAAAAATAAGAACTCGTTCTAAAATCCCCTCTAACCAGAATCATGAAATATCAAGATAGCAAAACGAAGATAGCTGAATGAGAATTTAAACAATAACCAACACTGTAGGGCCAATATGATATTACCTCATAAATAAAATTTAAAAGGGGTAAGGTTTCCAAAAGTCTATGTAAAGACCTAGATTTTAATTTGCCTCTTGAAGCTCAGGAGAGAGGGGGCCAGATGTACCTCCACCAAAAGAGAATCTCCGTTCTTCTCAGAGGCAGTATTTAAAAAAGGTCAAAAAAGTGGTGCATCTGCTGAATTTTTCTTCAGTATGTGACTTTGAAAACTGAGGGCTAAATTAAACATTACAAATAACACATCTGTGAGGAAGAGACTGAGGAAACATCAAAGAGTGTGCCGTCCCCTCAAAGGGCTAGCATAGATAGGCAAACACGGGAGATAGCAGAGACAGGAGCACCATCAGAGGAGAAAGAAGGTCATGCGCCAGAAGCAGTGAGGGCTCAAGACCAAAGATTCTGTGAGGAAAAAAGTCAGTTAAGGCAGTTAGTTGGGACCGGGGCAAGAGAGAGGAGAACTGTGAAAGGGTGTGTGTGTTCCTGACCACCGAGGAAGGAACATCATCCAAAGAGATGGAGAAAATCACAGTGTTCAGAGAGGCAGCAACGGATAGAGCTAACAGTGGTGCTTAGGATTTCACTGTGCCAGTAAAGAGACCCTTAACCGATCGTGCTAAAGTGGAGTCAGAGAGCCCGACTTCGAGTAAACTAAGACTCATCATTCCTGGCCTCAGTCCAGAAGAATGGACGGTGCTGGTTTATCCCAGGAATCAAGGTCCTGCCTGGTTGGTACATCATGTAGACCCGATGATAGAGAAAGAAGCGTTGAGAGAGGGAGAGTGGACCCGTCATCCATGTTGTGGGACCTTGTGTGCGGTCCACAACAACTTCCTGAGGCAACCGACAAAGGAAGAGGAAAAAACAAAAACCTATTATTGAAGGACTTAAACGAAGAAAAATCATTGTTGTGGTTTTGGGAGATTTCTCCTGTTACGGGATTTATCTATACAAAGTTCAATTGTTTGTAACAAAGAAGATTTAAACAGTTCTGTTAATAAAAATTCTTTATTTAATAATTCTGAATCCTCATTTGTATCACCTAAGAGAGAAATGCCCAAAGGTAACCAAGAACCCACTCACAACATCGTTCTACCTGAAATTGCCTTAACGTTCCAGAGCCCTGATGCCAGCAAATCTTCATGTCTGAAAAATGTAACTTGCAAAGAAAGCCAAGTCTATATTGAAAAGGCCAATAACAAAACAAATTAAAATTTGCATATGGGGTGGGCAGGGAGGGAAATACAAAAAAAAATCAGACAATCAGATGCTTTTAGCATTTAAAGTATTCCATCTTGTATTAATATATAATTTGACTCCCCAGTGGCTTCAGGTGAGTGAGAATATACCTTCTGTTGGCTCAAAGCACTCATAAGACTTCACTGCCAATTCTACTTTCTTAGAATCGAAAACAGATTTCTATTAGAAAGTATGGAAAAAATGATGAAATTACTTGGATATTTAATAAATATCTGTAACAACTGCATTCAATTTTGCACTGGTAATTTTTCTTTGTTTCCTTGCATGTTTTGTTGTTGTTGTTGTTTTGTAAATTTTATTAGAGCATGCAACATGATATATTCTAGAATGGGCAGCCAATGAACATTTCAAACCTTAAACTGATCTTGGTAATAAGGATAATGCCTGGGATTAATTAAATGGATAGGCACAGAAGACTGTGAAAGAAATCATTGTAAGAATACAAGACAAAGAATTATCTAAGACACGTAAATATTACTGAAAGTAAAACTGTTTAGATGTTCATAAACTCAAGCCTTGTCGTTTTATGGCTAGGGATTTATTCATTGAAAACAGCTGGGCATTGTGGGGAAATTGATTTCCTATAGCATACTCAACTCCATAGTTTTGTGCTGCATTTTTTAAAAAGTATGCAAAAGATAACCAATAGGAAAGCAAATCTGTTTTCCCATCCAAGACCATGATTTACATATAATTGGAACATAACAATGGGATTGGTTCTGAGAGCCATGCTTCCTAGGTACCCATTTAGCAAATAAACAGGTTCAGCTGCAGCAGGTAGTACCTGATGTGACTCACATATGCAACATCTGACACATATTTGACATTTGATACGTTGGCTTCGAAGAAACTACTGCCATAAGTAATGAAAGGAAACAGCATGTAATCATAACTGTGAGTCATACTTCTGTCCTTTATTAAATACTACCCTCTTCAATAAGAGTCTTACTGATTTATACTAGCTTCCCCAAACTAGAGTTCCCCATATATGTTTGCCTACAACTCCCATAATCCCCCATAGCTATACTGGTTGAGGGATACTGGGAGTTGTAGGCCAACACATCTGAAGACTGCCAGGAAAGCCAGACTCCCTCAAAAGTCTCTTCTGCCTATGCCAAAAAAAGGAATATCTTGTCATTAGAAGTGAAGTCAAAATTACGTTTATATTTCTGAACAGTTTCTCAGTGCACCTTCCAAAAAACAAAAGTGAGAAATACCTTTATTAGACCACTACAATATCAAAATCAGGCTAGCTTTTTAATCCTCCAGGGCCCTTCCTGAGGCTAGGCATTTGAGAGCTGGGGGCAAGTCTGAAATGCCCTAAAGTAATCTTGGCTAAATATTGAGCCCAGGACTCTCATAGTTTACCGTGAAGTTTCCAAATGGAAGCTGTAACTTCATAGCATCAGTTTACATATCATATCAGGTTTCACCTCAAGAAATGTAGATTCCATTATCTTTCACCTCCCTAGAGCAAGGACTGCTCATAATTTACAATCTTCTCCATTAACTTACTGTATATTGCAGCATATAGCACTTTGTGTGTTTGTTAATGCTATTTGGGTTTTCCACATTAGTTAGTGAGGTCATAGCTTTAAAAACAATTTATTAAGAGATTATAAATAAGTAAATAATTAAGCACAGGAAATCAATGCACTTTTCAATAACCTATAATTGACAATGAGAAACGTATATGTATCCACAAACAAGTAAATAGTTCTTCTCTAATGTGTAATCTGGCCAGATTCTATTTTCACCACAGCTACTTTCAGTTGTCATAATATTTATTGAAAACTTGAGAAAGATAATCCTGAAAATTGATTAGAATTCTACCAGCTTTGATGGGGGTGAAGATGCTTATACTGTAAAGGAACCCTTTTCATTTAACGGAATGAAGGGAAGGTAAACTAATGTGTTATAAAGAAAATATTCTTAGATACAAAGATCTACTAATCCAATTATTTTTAAATGCCTGCACGTTTAAATAGTGCTTTAAATATGAATGTACGCTTTCAAATTTTGTAAATAATTTTTGCACGAATGTAAATATTTGGAAGACTTCAAACTTAATTCCTACAAATTAAAGTCATTATTTTGTGCAGTTCATTGCAAAGGCTTGTCCCAATCTAGATACCGTGGGTGAAATTGCACATGGCGATTCACATCTACAGAAGCATCTAGTCAGTTCAGTTGTACTTGGATAAGCACAACAATGTAACTGCTTAAGAACACATACCAGTCTTGTTCGATCAGGATAACTGCCTAGAGTAGTAATAAATGTTGCTATAAGTGCAGGTTTAAACCACAATCCTAAGCATGTTTATATGTAAATAAGTCCCTCTATGGTCAATGAGTCCTCTCCAGCCTTACACAATTAACTGTTTTAGTTAAAAGAGAATTGAGCCAGCAGTACTTACTGGATCACTTGTTAGAATACTCTTAACCCTAATACATACACTTTTTATATAGGAGAGTGAAGTATTTTGTGGATTCTTTTATTCATGTATTTGTATATTGGTCTTTGACTATTCGGATTGTTTTAGTCTGATCAGTCAATTGACAAATCCATTAAATTTGCACACAAGTAAAATAATGTACCTTGAATGAAAGGGGGTGGGAGTTCATGAGGCACACATAAATTACAACACATCTATTATGCTTACTATATATAGTAAAAATCCTCATGAAATAACAAGAATTTGGAAAAGTTACTTTTTGACTGCATCTTGCAGAATCCTGCATAGCCAGGGATCATGGCTGGGGAATTCTGGAGACTGTAGTATAAAATGTAACATTTGCAAGTGTTATTCCTGTTAGTCCAAAGCATTTTCTTTCCTGGTGTGATTCAGTTGCCCACAAGAAAGATGCACTTTTCATTTTGAAATCCTAGCCCTAAAAGAAAGCATCCTTCATAAGAAGATATAAGATATATTTCCTCTTCATTTGAGACCGTGTGC